GATTTAGAGTCCATCATTTTTCTCGAAAACTATCACTCGTAGAGTAAACATGAATAGGACATAAAATATATATTTTAAAGAGATCTACAACTTTTGTTTAAAACATTTTTCAAAATTTTTAATATTTGTGTCTGAAAATTACATATAAATGGTCGACATTGTTTTTTTAATAACTTTTTAACAAACAACGAGCGACGGCTAAAACCTTCTGAGCGTTACTCAGGAGGGTAACCTTGACAACATATGTCAAGGTCAAGGTCATTGGAGCTGACTCCCCTATAGTGAACAATTACCAACTTTTCTTCTCAGTTTAACCCAATCTACTATAATCTTTGGGGTCGGCCATATCGAATCTGACACCCTGTATATTTGTAGGAATAACTTTGTACTAGCATCACTCCATTGAAAGGGATTCTCTGCGAGTATCACATTTTCTTCAAGTTTGTTAGAATCATCATTACTGACTATTTCATTGGTATTTTCATTCATTGGCATTGTTTCGTGACATACATTATCACGCAATTCTATAAATACGTTTCGATCATCAATTTTGACACACATATGTTGTCACAATTAAAGTCAATATCTTTGTAAAGCAATTTAAATTTTAATCCTCCTGCAATATGAATCATGTATCTATGTATATATATATATACATATATATATTAATATTGTCTAAAATAGCTCAACAACATTTAATAAATGTAAACTTTGGTACCCAGCAAACACAAGGTAACAGTTACATAACTGTAATGTTAAAATTTCCTACTCAACAATATAACTGTTATATAACACGTGTGTTATGTAACAGTTATATTGTTGAGTAGGAAATTTTAACTTACAGTTATGTAACTGTTACTTTGTGTTTGTTGGGTATGCTCTAAATCAACAATTTTTAACATTATTTTTCACTATTAGCTTTAGGGCCAGTTTCACAAACGTCGTTTAACCGCTAACCCATGGTTAATTGATCCTCTGTCTCTTCTTGGATAACAAGATAGAGGAAGATAGGAAGTCAACTAAACTCTGGTTAACAGTTAACCGACGTTTGTGAAACTGGATCTTAGAGATGCATAACTTTTATACCTTCCGTTCTACATTTGACATGTCCATTTTGGTCGATTATAACCTTTCCTGTAGTATCCTTTCGCATGTATGCTTTTTCCATATTGTTTGTGTCCTCCATTTTTCCCTTTGCTATTAATTCCTATATACACAGAAATCACATGCTATATAGATTTGGAAATAAAGGAAAAGGATATTTTTGTGTATTTTGTAAAACTTACTATTGTGTGTGTCTGGTGTGTGTACGCGTGTACGCGTGTATGTGTGTGCTTGCACCAGCTTACACTGCTTGTACTGACTCGAGACCTAGTGCAGCCAGTTCAGTGAACTCGTGCACTGAGTTCTATTGCACTGGAACAAGAAACAGTATCGATGACGTCATTTCGGGAACAGAAAACGCTTTAGTGTACACTTCTTGAACTAGTGCAACCAGTGCAGGAACAGAAAACAAACCTACAGTGTTACACTGCTCGACACAGTAAAAAGCTAAGTACAAGCGTGTAAAATATCCCAGTGTTACCAACATTTAGAAAATTTTATATTTAAATTGTGGTATTAATGTTTTTGAACATAACCTATAAATAATATAATAGTATACGAATATTCGAAGACGTTAGAGGTAGATCTACCGCACAAGCTTTTCCGCAACGCGTTATGTTAAGTTCTGAATATAAACTTAAATCCGTACGTAAACTTAGTAATTCACGCAAGAAACGCACAAAGAAAATCATAACGTATTATTGCGTCAGGCTGTTGCTACTTTATGATTTTCTTTGTGCATTGATTGAAGTTTAAGGTTACAAACGGTTCTAAGTTTACAATGGTCACGTTCAGTAGAACGTTCATTTTGCAACTGTTGGAAGTTTTCTTAATTCACTCTTCGTCTCTTTCTGTTTCCCTTAAAAAGAGACAAAAAGTGAGTTAAGCTAAGGTTAAAATGAAGCGACATGTACTATTCCATTAACGTAATGCCCTTTAGTACGATTTTTAGAAATTAAACCTATACTTTCACCGTTCCAACAAGAATTTTACACGGTGTAACACAGTGCAATTTTGTGTGTCTTAGCTGGAAAACGCCCTGTAACAGTCATTCCTCTCAGCTTGCACGATCGAGATCGGCCATCTCGACGTGCGGTTGCGATATAATAAAGTATATTCGTATTACACTTAAACGTGAGTTGCATCATTACCGCCTTAGCTAAAATAAAACCAGCTACCGGTACGGGAAGTTCTGTGGCACTTCTGCCGGGCAGAGTGGCCAGAGCGAGGAGTGAGGACGAGAGTCACGCGAGAGTCGCGTGGTAGGGATGACGCACACAATGACAAAGCACGTCTGTGAGCGCTGGGAGCTTCGGGCCGCCTCGGCTAAATAGACGGAGATAGCCACATATGTCTCTTTCTTTCTCTCGCGCTGCGTTCTCGCTCGCTGCTCGCCCGGCTCGCCGAGCTGCTAGCCGCCAGCCGGTAATAAAGAACACTGAACAGGGCCTCTATTCTTGAATTCATTCGTAAAGGTCGGTCTACAATAAGGTTGTAGCGCAGTAGCAGTAGTGAGTAAGTTTTAAGATCGCAAGCCGTAACACGATTCCTACGGCTAGGCTCATCTACAATCAATTGAGAACGGCGCTGTTGTGCTTTCGAGTTTAGGTTAAGAAATGATGGATGTGAGAAAAGCCTGCCTGTGGTCGCTGTATCTTGCAAATTGGAATAATTTGCTACTGCTGGAATATGTCTGGCTGAAAAGGAAGAGAAGGTTGAATCGTCGCCGGTGGTGGGTACGGCCGGTAAATCGTGTGAGAGACGCCCAAGGTTTCTACTCTAACCTCGTCAGGGAACTACTTGAAACTGATCACGAAGAATTTTTTACGTTGTTCCGAATGTCGCCTGAACAGTTTCGTATTTTGGTTGAGCTCCTTCATCCTCGTCTTAAAAAGCGAAGTAAACGCACACCACTACCAACAGACCTTCGTGTTGCCGTCACATTGCTGTGAGTTTTTTTATACAGTTTTCTGCTTGATTCTATTTAAAATATTTTAATGTCATCTGTAATAAACTTTGTAGGTATATAGCTCAAGGAGACACAGCCAAACTGAAACACGTGGAATTTAGAATTGGGACATCCACGGTGTACAAAATAATACACGAAACTTGCAGAGAGATTTGGAACGTACTTCAGCCTCTTGTTTTGAAAAATCCCAGCAAGGAAGACTGGAAGACCATCAGTAATGGCTTCATGATATCCTGGCAGTTTCCCAATTGCTTAGGGGCCATTGATGGCAGACATATGAGGATTCAAGCACCCTCGAATTCGGGCTCGAATTACTTCAATTACAAGCAGTTCTTCAGCATGGTTATGATGGCAGCGTGTGATGCACAGTACAAGTTTACATGGGTGGATGTCGGACAATTTGGTAAGTGTTAATCTTCACTGCATTTTCTGTAGCTATAGAATGATATTGCCAAGTGGAATGTTTTAGTTTTCTTTTTTTTAGGTTCCATAAGTGATGGCGGGGTATGGGCCAACACTGATTTTGTAGAGGATTTATCATCCGGAGATGTGCCCTTGCCTGATCCCAGCCCACTTCCAGGAAGCGAAGTGCCCTTTCCCTATGTGTTTGTGGGAGATGAAGCATTTCCACTCACAACTTACATGATGCGGCCGTATCCAAGGAAAACGTTAACAGATGAAAAAAGAATTTTCAATTACCGTTTGTCCCGAGCACGGCGGGTAATTGAAAACGCTTTCGGAAATTTGACTGCACGATGGAAGATCCTACAAAGACCACTCTGCATGTCACCTACCAACTGCGAAAATATCTTCAGAGCCCTTCCCTGCCTTCATAATTTTATTATGATGGCTGAAGAAGAAAGAAATTGGAATGACAGAGAATACTGCCCCAGAAACATGATTGATGTGGAAACAAAGGATGGGACTATCACAGATGGGGAATGGAGGAATTACTGCATTTCGTACTTCGCTAGGCTTGGCCGAGTCGGGGCTAATCGAGCTGGAGATATTGCCAATGGGATGAGAAATTATTTACGAGATTACTTTGTGTCATCGATTGGAGAGGAACAGGCACCTTGGCAATACATCCATGCCTTCAGGGGAAAAGACATCAACTTTCTGGAATAATCTAAGAATAACAATTTTTTTGTAAATTTGTAAATAAAAATAAAAATATTAAAATATTAAAATCATTTATTTCTCTGCACTCATGTTATTTCATATTTAGTTCAAAACAAAAACCTTTCAATACAGCAATAATTAGAGATAAACACGTTTTCATATTTTTTATAAGAAACACAATATTAAAATAATACAGACATAAGCAACATAACGTAATCAAATATTTCCAATATCATTAAATATAATAATTATGTCAAAAACTTAATTAAAATCATTGTTTGGCATACTTTTCAGTTATAATTTTTAATATTTCCATCATACATTCAAGGTGCCTCTCTCGGGGCACAGATTGTAAAGCAAAGGAAACAGCACTCATAATTGGACTAATATTACTAAGATTAGCAACATTATCTGAGGTAGCTATACTTATATCCTTGTCGAGTTTAGCTGTCATAGAGGACAAAACACTTGTTTGGTTCAGAATTGCCTGAGCCAAAGCATCATCTTCTTTCTTCTTCTTTACATTAAAATTGTCAGGCGGGGGAACAGTGCGTTTTCCTTTCAATTTTGCTGTTTTTATGGCCCGTATAATAGATTCAGACGCCGAGCTCACATCTGAAGAAACTGAAACTCCTTCTTCTGTACTTGCAAGTGACTGCCCAGCTGAGTTCTGACTATTAGAAGCATCAGATTCAACATCTGCAAAAAAAATTACACGTCATGTAATTGATGTTAATTCCATTTCACAGTATTACGAAAACATTGTTTGTACTTTCAAGAAACAAATAATTATTACTGCTCCACATACTAGACGGCGACAGCGACTCTGAAGTTTGAGGTGACAAAATTGACCTAATTGCAGGTGGCGAAGGGGAGGGGGAGGGTCGGGCTGGAGTTAACCTGAATACAGGTGGCGACGGTGAGGGAGAGGGTCGGGCAAACACAGGTGAAGCTCTGTCAGCTTCAAAATTGGGCCTCACAACTGTAGCCGTCTGACTTTTTGGCAAAGCATTCGTACTGTAGCCACTTGACGTTCTGGAAAATAGATCAAAACATAATATGACTCAGTTTGTCCAAATATATCTGTACTATACACATAAAATAAAACACATACTTGCGTGCAACAATATGGTCTGCCAGAAACATACATTCTTCATACAATGGCCATGTGGGTACATATGGTGCCATCGCTCCTTGTCCTGACTTCCCCTTTAGTGACACTAGTACTTTTCGCCTTTCTCTGCCGAAGCGTTGGCGAATATTATAAAACAATTTACAAGCCTCTGGTCCTAAAAATCAAACAAATATGAATCTGCAGGACAACGTAACCTAATCTAATCTAACCTAATCTAACTTCTTATGTCACAAAAATACATTTTGCGATTTTTAGCCTACCTGATTGGGGGTTTTTGAGACTCGATCCTACTGTCTGCCACGCTAAATCCTTATCAAATCCTTTGCCACAATACTCTTTTGTTGTTTTGGAGTACAGAGCCGGATTATTTTTTACTAACAGAATCAGCTCACGCTGATCTAATAGATTTTCGTCGACCTCGTCGTCGACCTCCATATAAAAATTATAACCTTGAACGCCGGCTTCCTCGTTGTTCGACATGTTTCGATCACCATTCGTCGTTTTCGTCTCGCTGTCATCAGTCATAGACGTATTTCAATATGGCTACTGTGCTTGACTGCTCGCTATTCGCTGTAGATCGTAGGTCGTACGCCGTGAGAAATGGATTTGGTTCATTTCGCTTACAACTACTGTTACGACCTACTACACCGGAAGTCGGTCTCTTACGACTCACTGCTACTGCGCTAAAACCTGCTTACAACCTTATTGTAGACCGACCTTAAGAGAAACGTATGCGCAAATTATGTTCTTACAGAAAAGTTGCAAATTGATTAGCTATCGTACAGTTTTTAGCCAATAAACTTGCAGCTCTTCTGTTAGAACAGAATTTGCGCATACGTTTCTCTTTACGAATGAATTCAAGAATAGAGGCCCTGATATAAGAAAAATTTCTATTGCGCGAAACGCGCAAACGAATATTATCCTATTATATGTATATTGTACATATCTGTATATTTATATATATGTATAC